GGGAATTTGGGGAGTTTACTCTAGTATAGGTTAGCAAAATTCAGCTGAACTAGCTCTGGTATAGGCTAAGGGTTCCAGGGTCCCAGCGGCAAATCCCCAGCCAGAAATTCCCAAAGTACCCCCACCCCACCACCCAGGGTCGTAAAAGACTTATTCTTATGTATTTTGATATTTTTAATATTATTTATTGTAATTTATGTTATTTCTTATTTATGTTGTGACTAGACGTTTAAAGTAGCTTTATATGTAGCTAAGAGTCAGCCACTTCTTACATCTTGTTCGCCATTCGTCCACAAGAGATCTCTGTCATTCCACTAGTAATTCAATCTCGTTCCCAGAGTCTTCGTTTCCCTTGACCAGCGGTCGGAAAACGAGAGCTCTGGGAGCAATCATTTTGAAATGTAACCGAATTCTGGTGATTCTGCCCATCCGGTTTCACTGCGCAGTCTGCATCTATGGCGCATGCCTGAAATGGTTGCTCCCAGAGCTCTCGAGCTCGTTTTCCGACCACTGGTCAAGGGGAACGAAGACTCTGGGAACGAGATTGCTAGTAATTTGGTTGTGTACGCGTGCGTAAGAAACTTAAGTCAAGGCCGGTGATATGGCAAGTCACCCGCTAATGCTTTCAATGATTTTTAATCAAAAAACAAGAATGAAAAATATATAGGTCCATAAAAGGGCCGGCATATTTCACTGGTTATTAATTATCACCTGCACTAAAATGATGTTCACGCAGAAATATTTCTAGTATAGTTCGGATTCCAAATTTGTCACTGAGATGGTTGCCCTGATTCACTCCATTTAGCACTTCGTAAGAAATCTTTTGACCTAAACTTCAATATTCGTTAAATTGCACGTTAATAAAATTCCATATTCATTAAGTTGCATATTCACAAAACTAAGGTCGAGTGCTAGTGAGTAAAATGAACATCTCGAAAGGAAAGAATGATTTTAGTTAATGTTGATCAAGGTGGCATTTTCTTTGTCACTAGCCCATGTCTTTGTGCAATGCTTTGATTTCTCACTGATCTCTAGAAAACTGCCGCTAGGAAACTTCTAACTTGTCAATATTTCTATTTCATTGATTCAATACTATTGTTATTTTCAACATAGTTTGTGTTGTTTATCAAACTCCGTCAGTTCTTAGTCGTCCTAAGCTTCTCCACTGACACCATTTTCGTTCTCCACGGGCTCATCCTTGTCTGCTGCATTCTTCTCCTCTGCTTTGCCGCTGTCCTCGTCATTCTTGTTCACGGGCCCATCCTCACCTGTTGCGTCCCTGTCTTCGTCTTTGTCGCTGACCACATCTTCCTTGCCTGCTGGCTCATCCTCACCTGCTGAACTTTTGTTCCCTTCTTCCCCGCTGTCCTCGCCTTTCTTGTCCGCTGTGTCAGCATCTTTTTCACCGGTCAGTGCTTCTAAGATATCAGTCAGAAGGCGCTTTACGTACAAACAGAACTCTTTGACAATGCCTGGGATTTCTTGGGCCTTCTTGCGATTGTTGTTGAACTTTTTTATCTTCCCTGGCAGAGTTAATACATCGGTCTTCTTCTTCAGCAGGCTGTGGAAGTCACGCTGTGGGTCGATCTGTGTTACTCGCTCAATGCACTTCCCGATCCCATGCTGCACGTCCGGTTCAAGTTCCACAGTTTCACTTCCGGCCGATTTGAGGTTCCGGAGTGCTTGCACTGCATCGCGGTACAGCTTCGGAGGTTTGACGCCCTCGATGGACTTTACCTTGATTTCGCCATCCGTCTCGTCGATGTAGATTGTTATGTTTCCCTCCTTGGCGTCTTTCTTCAATTCTTTGATGTAATCTTTGAGCTCTTTCTTTACGTCAATGTTGCAGATCGACTTTACAATATTCTCAAAGGATTCTCTCGCAGCTTGAACGCGCTCGCGCGTTTCCACGAAGGGATTGATTGCGGACGCGAGGGATGTGAACACGTTGTCGATATCATCAAGCCCAAGTGACTCAAACTTAAGCTTCTTATGAAATTCTTCTTTATCTTTGTCTTTCTTGTCCTTCTCTTTCTTGCCTTCTTTCTTCGAATCACTATTTCCAGCCGCGCCTTTCTCCTTTTTCTCCTCGTCTTTTGCAGTATCATCCCCCTCAGACAGCTCCTCTTCCATTTTTCTCTGATCTTCTTCATCAGCAAAGGCGTGATAAATTTCAAGAATGATCTCCTTGGTTTTGAGGCAAAAATCCCGCACCATTTCAGGAGCTCTCTTCACTTGCTTCACATTATTGCTGAACGCTCTCTTTAACTTCGGGATTTTGCCCAAATCCCACATGCTTTTCAATTCTCGTTTCAGAATTCCTTGCACATCCAGTTCGTCAGCCCTCTCAACTGCGTCCTCGCTGCCATTTGCAATGGTCAGCGGCATAGCCTTCAAGTCTTTAGCCAACTTGAGCATGGCATTTATGGCGGTGACCGCATCAGAGATCCCTTTAACTGTCTTCTTTCCCTCTTGGTAAATGGTCGCAGCGCCTTCTTTAACCTTGACTGTAATCCCCTCCGTCTTCAGTCTAGTCTTTAGAGCAGCCACGTATTCACCGAACTTGGCGCGCGGGCTGATTTGCTCTAGAGACATGACTGCTTTCTTGAATGAATCTTCGGCTTTGCTCATCTCTTCACGATTTTGAACGAACGGGTCAAAAGTTGTCTTGAAATCGCTAAAGATGCAATCCAACTCTGGAATGTCGAACTTTTTGAATTCAAGGACTTTAGCTTTCTTTTCCTTAGCTTCAGCTTCTTCCTCTCCAGACCGTTTTCCTTTCTCGTTCGCCTTAGTTCCTTCCTCGTCCGACTTAGCTCCTCTCTTGTCTTTTGTGACAGGTTTAGCTCCTTGCCGAGGACTGGCCTGTCTGAATTCTACACCATGCGCAACATTTTCATTTTCTTTTTCATCACTCTGCTCAAATCCAGTGGAAGACAAATCCCCTGTCAGCGGGTTCTGCAATGGCTTCTGAGCACGCTGGGACGGCTAATGAACACAGAAGCAATTGATCAATGGCTGTGAGAAACAGAGGAAGACTTAAGGGTAACAGAGGTTATCCCTCATATAAGCCTTATTCCCAAGGTAATCCCTCTAAAGCTATTTTCAGATCACTCCTGGTTTTGGAAATCCTAGGAGAGTCTAGAAACAGCCAATCCTGTGACTCGAATTTTGCTCACGTGTTCAGCCCAGGCCGCCTTACGCGCATTTTCACCCTGCACTAGTATAGGGCCCCGACCGCACTGACGCATTTTTAAAAGTACCCGTTTTCGTCTCAACGAGAACGAAGCAAAATATTTTCGCTGACACTAGCGTTTTCGGTTTGTTTTCACCTGTCCACACCAGTGCGTTTTCGTATGAAAAACGCATACTTTTTGATACGTTTTCGCCTTTTACCCAGGGTTAAAACTCCCGAAAACGCTCTTGGAAACGACGGTATGACGCGTTTTCGGCAACGTTTTCAAAAGCCTCCGTTTTCACCTGTCCACACTAGACACAGAGCGTTCTCAAAACGATCTGTTTTCAAAAGGCTCCACTTTTGAAAACGTTTTTGAAAGCCTCCGTTTTCATCAGCGTTTTCGGTCGTTTTTAGTGTGGACGATAGGCGAAAATGCAACGAAAAGTATGTGTTTTTATACGAAAACGCATTAGAGTGGTCGAGGCCTAAAAACTGACGGGAGCACATGCAACGTGCATGATAACATATTTCGTCCGGCGGAGAACTGGTATGGTTACCATTGCTAAAGAAACTTTAGAGTCAACTTTGGAATAAGGCCTGTATGGGGGACTTGAGAACGAATCCACCACAAGTTCGAGTATATATGTAACAAGCGGACAAAAACTTAATTTGTACCGAGCAGTTATTGATATTATATTGCAAACTTCTGTGCGACCGTTTTAAATATCTTCTCAAAATTGTACTGTAATTCTGTTTTTGTTTGTGGCAAATTCAAACAATAAAATTAAAATAAAAATAAAAATAAAATAAAATAAATCATTTCTAATAACACCAAATGTTGAAAACAAATTTTGGAGTTCACGTGAAATACTTGAAAGTACTGGTGAAATGAAACTGATGATGAAATTTTATCTGTGTTTGCACAATTTCTCTGAACTTTGAAATTTATTTTCTCGAGTTCCCATGGGAAACTTTTCGTGGTGTTATCTCAGGCAACTGTTTATATCTTTCGCTTCTAGAAAATACAAAAAGGACTGTAATATACTTAAAGTTATTCTGGTACAAGGTTTCTGTCCATTAAAAACTGAAAATTCCCGATTTCCCTTCATGCGCTCTTTCTGTGAGTGAAGGGTACAGGCAACAGACCTCTGTCTTAAACTCAACTGGCAAACCCTATTTCAACTAAAGTCTCACTGTATTAAAAACTGACTTTTACATCTCGAAAATCCCGAAAAATATCCCATATATTCATGGATCAGCAAAACATGCCCTAGGGACTGCCAAAACGTAGCAAACAATTCTAGTTTCTCATTTATGTATTTTCGGACCGTAGGTCTTTTCAGATCCGATACGCTGCGTTTTTAAAGTATGGTACTGGCCATGCGGTTGAATGTTTAAATGTTTAGGCTGGCCTTATCCAGCCACATTTATTCTTTTGCTTTTCGAGACACCAATCTTGACACTTTGTCTCCTTGCGCCCCGAAACACGTGATGTGGCAACGCGTTTTGCGGGGCGCAAGTGAGTTCAAAGTACGGAACTTGATATAGTGAACGGGTCATTTTGCAATTTATGTGCGTTGGCTGTTGGGCTGGCGTTACATATCTTCGCTACACAGTGCTGGTGTCTCGAAACGTTTTTCACGTAGTATCAGCCTTGCAGTCTATTGTTTGTCTTCAAATAATTCCCTACTACGGGTGGGGCTATGGGTACACCCCAACCTAAGCAGGCTAGCTGAAAGTCCTGTTCATTCTCAGTCAGAGCTATTCGTGGTCTCAAAGAAGCTGAGTTCACCCACAACAGTTACTGTAGGACACGCGAGTGATTTTCCTGATGTTCCCTGGCCAGCCGATGTCGACAAAACTAGGATCGGACCGGATCGGACCGGACCGGATCACGGACTGGATCACGGATCGGATCACGGATCGGATCACGGCTCGGATCAAAGAAAAAAATTCAAAATTCAAGATTCAAAATTTTGCTGAGCAAATTACGCTAGAGTGACTACTGTGAGCAGAACGTTTTATTTAATTCATGTGTGATATTCCTTTATTCCTTT